ACAACTGTTGTCAGTATTATTAGGTCAATGTACATGGATATAGGTCAAGTGAAGCATTATTTGCTGGTAGTGTATCCATAAATGACAGGTTAATGTCTGTCATGTACGCGGCAAAAGAAAATTGTGTTCATATACTTGCGAATCTACATCCTGTCAGTCGTAATTTATCAAAATATGTTTCCCTCAGAGGTGGCTGACATCACTTTGACTGAGTCATTCCCTTCCTGGAAACTGATGCGCGCATTGATACATTTGGCCAGAATTTTATGATCAATTCATCATTCTGTGTGAAAAACCCTCTCTTGTCGTGTTGCACTGTATCTAGACGTGGCCTCATCGTTCGTGTGCATTCGTATCTTGCAGCTGTAATCTGTTTGGCCGATTTGTAAAAATGCCAGTGTGTATTTTTCCCTGATCATACCATAGTGGTTATTGGTGGTGATAATAATATGATGAGCAGTTGCATCACAAATAATGGTAGTCTGTGTACTGTTTACTGCGAAGGCCACTTTTGTACCAACCTCAGAAATTCCAGATGCCTTGTTTTTTTTAACAGTTTTAAAAACGAAATTCTTTTCCCGTCCTTACAATGCATGCATATCAGTGACAACAGTCAGCATAAATTACATCCTGCTTTCGTCTCTTCACAATTCCCATCCCATCCCCCCCCCCCCTCTCCTCTTTGTAAATGAGCACGTACGCGCCAAGCGCTTCAGCACTGCCACTCAGCTCGGGATTAAATTCCAATCTGTGTGCTATCTGTGATCTGTTTTCCAGCCCCGCGCTCTGAAGGACCCATCTAGTAATCCCACAGTCGCTGTCGTGAGTGTCGTCACGGCCTTGTGTTTTCTTGAACGAGTACACGTTGCTTCGTTCGCCTGCGCCGACGCTCGGACCCACCTGTCCTGTGCCGTGGCCACTTCAGCTGGCTGCTCACATACTCACCTCCGTCTCCTGCCGTCTTACGAGCCTTATTTCTTTTCTTTTTACATCCCTCCTTCTTCTTTTTTCTCTGCGACCCAGAGGCTGGATTGAGTGGCTATTTATAGAGCCCCACGGAAAATAAAAACATGGTAGCAGCGAGGAGAGATGAGCAGTTGAAATAGTCGGGGCTATTGAGGCTACAGTCAGCATTTCTTGTTTACGTTTTGATCAGACGTTCGTTCTTGAGTTTTGCTTAAAATGTAGTAAAGTATGCAACCGAATAATTGATATGGATTGATTGATGAATTCTGGAAGTTTACACTGATCAAATTTAACAGCAGCGTGGATTTCTTGATTTGAATATTTGGAAGGTGCAATGCATTGAAATTAAAAGGAGAAAAAAAAGTCCAATTTTTTTAAAAACAAATTTGCATTATGAAAGCTTATTTCAAGGTGTTGCCAGACACTTAAAGGTTGATGAAGTATGCGACCAACAGTTAAATAAAGAATCCATCCAAGCATATAATATGGAAATAGATTTTTGATGAATACAATTCATGAACGTGCAAAGTTATCATTCGTTGTTATGATATATTGACGTAAGCTGTGTTGAAATAAAATTAGTATGAAACCTTCATGACAGCATTTTCAAACTGGGAATCGGATGACCGAAAATCTGCTTCCTGGTATACCGAATATTTGAATATATGATAGAATGGTAGGTCCAACATTCCAATATTCATTTATTCATATTTGTATCGACTCGACCCTAAAGGAATTCATCCAACAACAAAAAGTCACATGTTTTCCAATATGGAATTCAAGAAAATCACCATTTCATGAATTACATTTATAACATTGGCTGGTTATTTATGGAGACCAGTAGCAGTTGGTGATGTTGTGACAGAGAGGTGTGTATCGTGTGATTTATTGATGATCTCTGCAGCCCCACAGTAGGATCCTATTCTTAATCACTCATTTCCGGTTGAGCCTCCCTTTTCCCCGGACAACTTGCGAATAGCACAGTGCGATTCCTGAATGTGATTTCATTAAAGGGTGTTTGTTACCTTGTTGGCCTAGCGGGTGGCCTATCTCCTTCATGAATGGATCATGTTTGGGGGGCATTTGTTTGCATTATCTTGAGCCAGGAACAATCAATTACTATGGCTTTAACGCCCAAGTTGGGCTTGATGGGATGTGGATCATCGGTTCAGGCGGTGATTACATCTGTCAACAGCTAAGGTACTTGGCCTGCAGTGTCATCAAAAGCAGATGAGTCGTAGCTCCTTAGATATTGTTTTCATTCCTTTCGACAATGTCAAACAGAAACCAAATTCACTGTAAACACAATATGATAATAGTGTACATGTACATATACGCGGCACTCTGAGTGTATATATTTTTGTATCTTTGTCCAAGTGATTGTAAACGATAAATTGTGTATTTTGTCTTCTTCTTTTTTCTTGATCGGTGAGGCCTCTTGGCAAAATGAGATGGATCTGAGCACAGGCCGTAGTTGAGAAAAATACACACACACAAAAAGGGGGGGGGGTATTTTTTTTTTCCATTTTTTTTTTTTTTTTTTCATTTTCAAATTTATTGACACACACAAAAGGGGGGTTTCATTTTTCCCCAAATTTATTGATACATTGTAATCATTGATGTGTCTTCTACACATATTTTAAAGAAATGGTATAAAAATTGTGGAATAAAAGTGGTTTTAAGGAAAAACATGTGGCCTAAGTCGTCATCGCTACTACAGAACAGTCGTAACTTCAAAGGCTGTTTTCTCAGTGTTTGACTTTGTTGATGTCGATAAATTCAAACTTTAAACAGCCATAACTTGTCAACGGAATGTCCGATTGAAGTGCAACAAATAGTATTACTATACCTCATACATATTCATGACCGGAAGCCGAATTCTCACTGGTCCATTCACCATCACGTTGCCAGGGAAAATTTTAGTCTCTTTCCTAATACCCGCAAACCCTCATTTCAACCTCTGCCCAGTTCTGTCTCATTTTGCAAGAAAGCCTCACATGCGCTGAGCTGTGAAAACTTACGATTATCACTCATGTTCTACATGTACATGACGGTAATCTTTTGCCTAGCCGAGGATGATATTTTTTTGTACAAGACTTACATACTATGCACATGATATTTTAAATGCGACCACTTTACAGTAAATCTTTCCTGTAAAAAAAGAAAGGTCACCAGATGTGTAACAAGATCTTCCGGGGAAAATTGTTTTAAAAAGTGTATTAGTGCACTAACTGAAACAGTGTTTTTGTTTGATAAAGCTAAAGATTGTATCTCATGGCTAAACACACTTTCTGTTCATGCTTATCAGCCGGATATCAGTAACTACAGCATGTGCAAGTCTTCCCACAACGCTATAAGCGTACATGTGTATTGTATTCAGGACATGTACATGTAACATGCACTGGTTGGCCCACAATATGTGTATGCTTCCACAAACCGTAATTAAACAATGGATTGACTTTTGAAAATACATGTGATATTTGTCTTTCATCAGTGCCAATTATTCAGGCATGCAACTTTTCTTCGGATCAGCTGGTTTTCTCTTTTTTCACTTCCAATATATGCCATTGAAAATACAAAAAACACTGTACAAAGTCTTGGAAAGATTTGAATTTCCTCTTTTTTTGTGTGACTTCCCAGTTGCATGCCTGATTATTGCAATTTTTTTGGTAATAAAGAGAGTTAAGGTAAAACGATGATTTACTTATCCAGCTAACTTCACATTTGGTATTTTTTTTTACCAAGCAAATGAAATATTGGATATTTAAACAGGGACTCGCTGAGTTTGTGGGTTTAAAAAAAAAAAAATTCCAACTGTTCAAACGGAATGTTTAACAATTTCATTAAATTTAAAATTTTCTAAAAACAATTCTTATTCTAAAAATACAAAATACCTCCGTGCCCTCGTGATCTTTTCAAGATTTTTAAAAATTTTTAATTTTACCAAAACGTTTTTCCAGATTTCCATATTTCCATCTTCACCTGATGGAATTGTAAACAAAAACGAACGGAGGAAAACAGCAACAGAAACAAATTCTTAGAAACTGGAGCTTTGTGTTTGATCAGACATCCTTGTTGACTTGTATAGGAAGCGACGATTTATGTGAATGGTTTCTCTCCTTGGGGGATTTGAACCGACAACGATTGACATCTCTGTAGATGTATGTCCCGTATTGATTCAGACAAATATCAGCGATTGCTGCTTTAATTGCTCTTCTATATGGTTCTATCTCGCCACGACTCGAATGCCACACCTGAAATGTCACCTCATTGTTATTTCTCGACGGGGTTCTACGTACGTGTTTGTGTGTGGGCATGGCGACATGATGCACCCCCCCCCCCTGTTTGTCTTTTAGCCGTCTCCCTCGTAAATATAGAAGAACCCCGGTTTGATGGTTTCTAATGAAGCGCAAATTTAGCGTCTGCCCACTCACTTTTGGCTTTTTGGTTCGGAGGATGAGTGGGCGACGGGGAGAGGGGGGGAGTGCTACACCGCACCTCTTGGCCTTGGTCGAGTCAACACTCGCCCCGTTGTCTGCCGATTTTTTCCCCCGTGATCGACGTCACGGGCAATCGTTGCCGGTGGTCATTGGGGAAATGCTGAAAATTAATTGGATCACTGCGTTATTAGGATGTGATGTTACTCACGGTGTTTATTACAAAACATATTAAAAGCTTGAAATTTAATACGGCCTGTGGCTTGCTTATTTGGATTTTTTTCATTTTAGAGCTCATCTTTTTAATTTGGTAAATAATAGTATATCACATCTGACGTTTCACAGAATCTGTTAATTTCTGATGCATTCAAAGGATTACAGAATTTGTAAATTTGAAATGTGTTGTCAACAATGCCTCATATTTGTTTCATTTTACACAAACTGAAAACCCGTACTGATTTGAAAATCCTTTGCTGTCCTCACTTGTACATTTGTGTGTATACTGTTTGAGAATTATTTTCATATTTTAAGTTTAGTAATCAAATATGAAATTAGAAATTATGTAATTTGCAAATTATTTGTTGTATTCGTTCACAGGTTGGCTGACGATTTGCGTATATCCGAAGACGAGAGTGATTCAGAGGAGGTAAGTCTCAGTAATTCTCATCTGAGTCATTTTCACTTTTTAAAAATAAGATTTTTTTTTTTCACATTTAGGCCCCCCCCAAAAAAGTCTCCGGTTTCTGGTATGCGCGCGCGTCGCCGTAGCCATGCGCGTCGGCAAAATGAAAAAGTTTTTTTTTTCAATGAAACATGATGTCTGAAAACCGCCAAACTCACTGGTCTGACTGGAATCCTGCTGCTGCACAATTTTAATGTAATTTTAGATTGGGTTATGGTCGAGAATAAGCTTTATGTGGCCTCTCTGGACTCCCATATAATTTGCACTAAGTTTAGTCGGGCACCATTTGCAGTCATCAGCCGACATTTGAAGCAAAAAAAATCAGGTAAAAAAAAAAAAAAAAAAAAGCCGCGTCGCCGCACCACTTTTTGGGCAAGCTCCATACCAGAAACCGGAGACTTTTTTTTTTGGCCTTAGCCAAAAGATTTTTTTTTTCAAATCCGAGATCAAGCCATCTAAGACCCTTTAATCAAGGAGTGGGTGACAAAAATCCCGACAAACATGTTGACTCGCCACACTCTATCATCCTACTGTCTCAAAAAAAATCTCATTTTGCAAAAAATTGAGACTGTTTGCTACAGTCGTCGTTGACGCATTTCCCCGTTGGTAGTAAGCTTTGAATAATTCTGATGGATCGTGTCGTACATTACGAGAACGGAAGGGGGGGGGGGCGCTGGATCTTGATACATTATTGAGAGAGCTTGTTGGAGAGTAAATCTTGCCCAGAGCCCTCTGATGAATCAGTTTTGTAAATGGAAACGATCCATTTCGGCTACTTAAGCAACCAATAAAAGCTGCCATTCATTCTGTTAACTAACCCGCCCCTCTTCTCCTCGGCAACTAGAGAAATAGAGCATGTTTTGAGTCGGTAATCAGCGTTGTTTACCCCCATTTATTTGACACTTTAGATTGTCCACGGTTCCCCTTTCTTTATGTTTGCTTTCTTTGTTTGACATTGTCGGCCGGTGCTGATGATGTAAATTTACTCATTGCTGCTGTCAATTATGTAGGGTCTTTGTCAATCCGATGACACGTTTGCACAACATATACCCTCCTAACAAACATAAAATTCTTGGATCGTTTCTTCTTGCTGTTCTATTTTCTTTGGGGGGGGGGGGCAAAAACATTAGTTTTATGTTCTCAACAATTGTGTTACAAAGTAGATTAATTAAGATCTTTATATTTTCAACATTCAGTTTTACGTTCTCAATGATGCTGTTACAAACTAGATTATTTGAGATCTTATAATTTTCGACATTCAGTTTTACATTCTCAACAATGCTGTTACAAACTAGATTATTTTGAGACCTTATTATATTCCGCATTCAGTTTTATACAATTCTGTTACAATTTAGATTTATTTGATTGAGATTATATAATTTTTCTGCTTTTGTGAAAAACCTAGAAGCAATTTAGAAGCTATAATGATGTTGAGAACTCAAAAGTTTGTTGTACCATGTGTAAATTGATATAATATATAAAGGAGAAACAATAATTTAAGTAATTAGTCAATCTTTGGCTGAAAAAGACTGAAATATATCATTTTTCTGCAACCATTTCCCCCCCCCCCCTGTACATTTAAGTTGTGACTTTCATTTGCATTCATGGGAAAGATGGTTCAGATTATATTTCTGTACACTCCATTTTGTGTTAAGTCTTAATAGGAAACACTGAAATTGTACTGTTAAAAATTAACAAAATCTTAAAACAATATTCAGTCTGTGGTATCGCACAGAAAAATACCATGTCAGTGTTTCTTGATCATTTATTCAGATTAGAGCGAGACACCTGTAATTTTGGGGGAGGGGAGATGGGGGGGGGACATGTGTCTCCTTAATGCCAAGCCACTTGCCTTCAGTGCCCCATCAACTGACAGCCCGCTTGGCAATCATCATCTGACATTCAGTCCCACTTGTCCAGGTCATTAAAGTAAAGGGGTCGGGGCAAGCCGAGATAGTCAGGCAACAAGAAGAGATGCAATCCAGTGACATCTTAACCAGGGCGCTCGTGCCGTAGGTCCACAAAGAGCCAATTACAATATGGAAAACCAGGGGGAATGCGCGATAAGTGGAGATTCTGTTTTCTTGAATTTTTTTTTTATGTGGTTGTGTGGCATTCACTAGGCATTCAGCTTTGTCTTTATGAGTGTTTTTGTGAAGGGGGAGGCGATGACCTCTCACATTTCTTGATTGGTGCGTTCTGAGCAAAATTCATCAACCCTTACGTTGACATTTCCAAGATGGTCATTTTGAACCCAATGGATGACAATATACGCATCATTTTCCTAGGTAGGATGAATAAAAAAAATTCTAGTTTCTCGCCCGAACATTTTTGAAAAAGTGGGATGGCGCCCCTTCCTTTTTTCTTTTTTTTTTGGCCAATGACGGATCCAAGATGGGGGACAGCTTTTTTTTCAAAACATCCACCGCTTTCATAACATTTTGCAAAGACTTCCATACCTGCAGATAAATCGACACCCTGTGCACAAACCCTATGAGATTAAAATGCTTCAATATTTTCCCAGCTAAATTTGACTTTTTAAGACATATTATCGCCTTCTGATGGCGTGATAGGTCACAAAAAGTAACTGGCGTAATTATTGTTGAAAAACATACTTGGTTGAAAGATAGTAAAGGGACTAAACTCCCTGTGAAATTATTCTTTCTGGCAAGCTGTCATTTTGAAGACATCAACAAAAGAAGGCCTTTCCAATGTGCTTCTTAAGAAGCAGCATAGGAAATTCAAATTAGCAGTTCGTTTTGTTATTTGGCGAAGCTCGCGTTGCTATGATTCGTGCGCGAAATCATGTAGCTGCAATCGGCTCAGTGAGATCGTATCTCGGACGCTGAATTCAGGCCCAATTCAAAACATGATTCAGCAACTTTTGATTTGAAATTGAGATCCTAGAATGTTGTTTTTTCTCGAAATGTACAGCTGAAGCTAAGCTGAAATTTCATCAGGTTAGTTGATCAACACCCTTCTTTAGATATTGAGCACTTTTGTTGCTTCAAATGAACAAAATCGGAAATTAAAAATGATGGACTGTAACTTTAAACATTAAAAAAAAAACACTGCAGAGTATCTTGTAAAGCTTGCAGTTTCCTCTTTCGGGTGACTTCCAAGTTGCATAGCTGCAAACAGTGTCCGGCCTTCAAATTCCGAATTTTATTTATCAATTGGATTTAAAAATAATTAAAACAAAAAATTAAACTGATTGTGGATCAGACCGGCCCTTTAATCTGACAAGCACACTTGATGTACTGTATGAAGTGGACTGAATAACAGTAGGAGAAATGGAAATGCCTCATTTGGCTTCTCCCCGCTGAAATCATTAAAGGTTAGCGCTAGACAGTTGGAGGTCAACAGGGTACATTCAGGAGGTGTCTGAACTCTGGGGGCACATGCAGACAGGCAGTGGGCAAGCAAATTGGATATTTTTTAAACGGACTGTCTCGTTGTGAAGGCAGACGAAAACTTGCCCGCAGTTTTCCCGTCAGTTGGCCTATTCATTTTTAACGTAATTTAAGTTGGCAAATGAAAAGTCACGATTAATCAAATAAAGTAATCAAGTCAGTTTTCTTCAAAAATATCAATTCATTTTTTGTTTTAATCGAATGGTTTAGTTTTAATTTACAATGTAGTTTTAAGTCGTTTGTTTTATAAGGACAAATCATGACATTACCTTTTAATGAAAGATAACGAAATTTTAGTAGAAATATCTCGGAGGAAAACATCAATACAAAGACAAGCTATGACTTATGAGCCCTTGGTTTCATGCAGTGGATTCACACAGTCTTTTTATCCAGGAAACTTGTTGGATTATTAGTGAAAAATCTAAAAACGTTCATACTAATGTTCTATGATGCAGCAAATGTTCTTAAGACCTTAAATTTGTTTAGTTAGGTGTGTAGGGGAGTTCCCTACAAAATGCCTTGTGGTCAAAATGTTTACTTAAAATAGCCTTGCCACACGAATCGCATCCTTGTTAAATACATTACTGGCCATGCTGGCTGACTTTCACATGCAGTTCAATGTCTAAAGGTCTGCAAGCCAGACTATGTGTATTTAGGTAAGTACTGTTCGTTCAAGGCTATGAAGGCATAGTTTCAATCACATGAGAGCATTGTAATCAGAACGTTGAAGGGAAAAAAGCCCTGTCAAAATGTACGGAACACCATCACACTTCTCTGGATGATTATAATACCCTGTCGTTCCATCACACTTCTCTAAATGATTATAATACCCTGTCGATAATGAATACTTTTGACAGTGTTGCAGTACGGTTGCCTGTATGTTTGGCTATTTTCAGCCCAGGAAAAATTGAGTTCGTTTCACCCGATTTCCTCCATAAGCTTATAAGACAGCCCCATTTTATGCAACATATTAAATTAAGTTACCGCAGCACGCAATGACTAAAATCCTTCTTTTGATACAAAAATTAAAAGTATGTAGTCCGATTAGGTCTCTCCACGAATGTAATTTGTCGTGGATGCTTTCACTTTCAGTCAAAAGAGATGCCCGACTGTTCATGTGAAATTGAAACGAATGGAAAGAGCGGAGAGTCGTTAAAAAATTCCCTTTGTACCGGTTACCATGGGAACCAATTTACTTGTGGAACCCTGTTTGCATGACCTTGACGTTTCTTTGAAAGTGGTTCGGTTCGTTTTAAGACTTGCATTCAAGCAGCAAGATTGCAGGTTTCGTAAATTTTTTTTTTTTCGAGTTCATGTATTTTACCTCAAGGAAGGATCACAATGTGAATTGTATAAATATCAACACAACTCAACAAAATGATTTTCTAAATTTATGGAGGAAATATTAAGAATTTTTTACACTTTTGATATGCATACATTATATGCATACTGTGAACATGTAGTCACTGTTCATGTATATGATTTTTGGCATTCAAAATTCTTTGATTTAATTATTAGTGGAAAATTCTGACCAAAATTGCTTCGTAATCACAAAAAAACTGCAATATCTTCCAATGTACATGTATGCATTCCAGTGATTTGATCTGACGACTGACAGATTGGACAGAAAACATAATTGGAACGAAGTTCCTTGTTTGCGAATCGTAATTAATTTAGTTCCTTTCGGCTCTCGGGCGTCATGATAATGCAGTTAATCAAGTATAGTGGGATTGACTTGTGTAGATGGCAAGGTCTATTTCGGGAAAACCTTCAAGGACAAAAAAAAATATTGCCGGGAGAGGTTTGTCACGTTTCCCCATCCGTCATCACCAAGGGTACAAACAATACTGGAGACGTCTTTTAAAAAAAAAGGATGCTTAGTATTAGTGGTTAAAATGCTTCCGTCAAAAATTCATGAATGTATTTTCACCAGAACAGTGTTACATTTAAGGCTAAGAAAAAATAAAATATTGTTTCTCGTCTGAGCTTTTTGGAAAATGGGAGGAGGTGCCCCCCTTTTTTCCTTTTTTCCAAGATGGATTCTTTCATTTTCTTGACTCTTTATGCTAATAGTTTTGTGTCCAGATGAGCCAAATGATTGCTGACAGATTCTTAAGTTGCATGTACATAGCTACAATTTTTCTTGAAAAACGTAAAAACAACTAAATATGTGACGTAATCAAGCTAAATGAGTCATTTGCCGACCCCGGTCAAAGAAAAAATTTATTACAGATTTGAAACGAGCAAAATCTTAGCATTACTGCTGTGAAAACCGTATGCTGGTACCATCGTTAGTTCGAAAATTAGGAAAGTCGGAACACCAACAAATGTGATGAAGTGGTGTGATGAAGTGGCCATATTTTGGCCTGTATCTCCAAATAAAAATTTGCGACAAACGATTCATTTAGCTTGATCGCATCACATATATTTAAAAAGAAAGGGGAAAAAGAGGCGGTCCGGACAAAAGGAAGTAGGCGGAGACGAGAAACTGTTCTTTTTTTTTACTTCTTTTCTTTCTTGGCCTTAATTCAAAAGTGTGGAAAGATGCTGCTTGTTGGTTGTTTTCTTCAAGTGTGCAACTTTTCCTGCTGATTTCCTCGGTTTTTTTACTTCTCATGAATGCCATTACAAACTGAAAAACACTGTACGAAGTCTTGTGTGGTTTGGAATTTCCTTGTTTTGTTTTTTTTAATTCCCAGTTGCGATACCTTGTAAATTCTTGTCAACATTCAAATTTAAGAAATTTTGGGAAAACCCCTCCCTCCTAAAAAAAAATTATTTTGAGAACATTAATGTTGGCAGTTTAAGGCAATCATTGAATTGATCTGAAATTTTGGTAAATATTGAAAGGCAGTGCAGTGAACCTAAGCTTAATAATATTGTGATTGTTGTCATTGATTTGGTATGCAAGGCATGCTGAATTCCTTTTGACAATTGGAGATTTTAGCTTCCCTTAAAAATTGATAAAGCCGTGTCAGATTTCAAAGCAGTCAGGCGCATGATTTCCTGTTGTTTCCAATTTCAAAGAGATGATACATAAAACGGTTACCGGTTAGCACCGCAAAGAATGGCTAAATTCTGAGAAAAGAATTGAATTTGTAGTAGTGCAACTAATTCGATTCTCATAGGGCATGGTTAAATGTGCAAAATGAAAGCCCTTTTGGGCCATTCTTTGGTCACGATGTGACATAAAATTGGGCTTGTCTGATTTTTTTTAAGCTTTACCCCTTGTTAACTACATCTGACATTTTCACTGATTTATCAGGTTATTATTTTACTCTCTACCTCAGAGTATATTTTCTTCTACCGTACTTTATCAAATTGTATCTAAATATAAGGAGGGGTCAGCAGATGTAAAAATGTTACCCGCCCCACACCTGAAATTCACGCTTTACTCCAAAGTTCTAAGGACACACACACCCACACTTATTTTGGACTATACATGTAGTCTTTTGTGATTTACAGAATGCATAGATAATGTGCACCGTCTGCTTTAGTTTTATACTAAATGTGAAACGTTCTGTGGTCACGTGTGACATTTTGATGGGTCACGTGTGTGACATTTTGTAATTAAAATTATGCTAATTTATGCACGGAAAGACCGACTTACGAAATTTCTTAAGAAATTTGCTTCTTTACTTGCTAGCAACACTTTAGTGAACAATAATTATTTGTATGACATCACAAGAAAAACCTTTTTTTCCCCCTTAAAAAAGTTTAGGTTCAATTTATGAAGAATCACTCTTTTCAGAGGGGTATCAGATGCCCCAAATCGTTAAAACATAACAGACAAATTAAAAAGTCGTTAAAATACCAAAAATAGTCCCAGTTTGAGCTTGTGGCACACAGATTTAAACCCTTTTTTTTCCATTATATCAGCGGTATGATATTACAACTTTAAAGCTGATTTCAACTTTTTTTGTTTTGGATTTCACTGGATGTGTAAGAAAGAACAGGAGATTGCCAAAGTTCAGCTTTTTCACACCTTTTCCAGCTGTTTTCAGCTATTTTTATCAGTGGTCACTCATACCCCTGTATATTTAGCATCACTGTTTCTTCAAATCATCATTCAGCATCTCCACAAAATTTGCCCCTAGTGTATAAATGCCACAGGTCACAGCAGGCTGATCACCTGTATTGTTATCTAACCTAATCTGCTTCTGTGTTTGTCTTGATTTGTAGCCACAGACAGTCAAGGAGGATTCAGGGGAGCGCGACAGCCCAAGGTGAGTACCCATCAGCTTTCAAAAAAAAATCGGCAAAATTATACAGTTAATGTAAAATAAACATTATTTTATATAAATTTGGGGTCCAATCTTTATTTTTCGGTGTCCCTGTTACATCTGAAATAAGAATATGATTTAATAAATTCAGAACACATTCTTGAAAGTCCTCTACCTCCAAGAGTAATTATGTAATGCATAGTACCTGCTAAACAAATACAAATGACACACAAAGATCAGGGCCCAATTTCATAGCGCTGCTTAACAGCCAACTTTGGTGCTTACTGAGCCGCCATCTATTTCATAGGAACCGTTAAGCAGTAAGCACAGCAAAAGCATGCTTAACCCCAGAAGAAAACTTTGCTTAAATCAGTGACGTAACAATTCAAATCTCTGTGCGCGCTCAACCGTTAGCATGAAATAGTGCTTAAGCAGCAGCATGATTTTTCTGCAATAGTAAGCACAACTTTTCTGCTTACTGTTAAGCAGTGCTATGAAATTGGGCCCTGGTGTAACAGGGACACATGTCACACTTTTGGACCCAAATTCATAGAATGCCCCCTAAACTCACGTATGACCAGAGAATTTGAACTTGTAGCTACAGTTTACTAAAGGAGCTGAAACTTTTTTTTTTACTTTATCCTCACTTACAAAATTGTGGGTCCATGAACATGAGGTTACGAGTTGAGCAATAGACCATTATCATGTTGCGGCCGTTTGGATATTTCCCATTCAAATCAACGCAACCAAAGCGAGGCTGGAAGGAAAAAAAGTCTGGTTCCTTTTTGCACAAAAAAAACAAAATCATTCAGTAGTTACTGGATACAGGGAACATGACTGAAATGGTGGCAACTCTAAAAAAAAAGTCTGTAGAGCCAAAGCATATGGATGTGTACATGTGTACTTGCAGCCTGGACATTATGTACAGTTGGAATTCTTGGTGCTAAATCCAAAAGAAGCGATAAAGTTGGAATGTAAAACTTTCAACCAGGAATTTTAGTCTGTTTTGGCCAATTGACTTCAATATGTTGACCCAATTTATTACAATTTTAGAGTAGATCCCGGTAGATTCGTTGAACAAACTTCAACATGTTCTGTTTTGTTTATTTGGATTCTTCCTGCGGACTACCCTGTTGATAATGAAACCTATTTATTGCTTGTCGTGTACACCTCAACGACAACAAAACGATGGTACACCTTTGGCATTTTAGACTACTCAGTGCGTGGGTCGTCTTTTAGATTAGATCGCCCGCACGTAATTACAAGTAATTCGTTTGAATGGCTCTTCACGTCCAAATGCCCGTCCCCGCCATTGTGGCCTGATTGTTATGGTCCATTAAAGGCATATTAATCCAGTTTGTCGCATCAGCATAAATGGGGTTTCGCTGATAAAAGAACCCAGTCCTACCATTATAGTGATGGCTAAGTGTTCAACCGATGCCTTGTACGTTTTTGTTAATGTAATAAAAAATTTGAAAGCATACAGCGCAAAGTAGTGTAGCAGCAGCTTTTAACAACAATTTTCATAACATCTATTATGTAGATGCGCATATTCCAGATCATTGGACTAACACTTGAAGTTTAATCCCAATGACCCTGCGACTTCTTCCCAAAGCCACAAATGACAGTTTTTCCTATTCAACCCAGCTAATCTGGCTCGTAATTGAAACAGAGAAAACAAACGTGAAAGAAAACTACTTCACCCCTTTAGCCTAAAGCTCTATTTCTTTGCTTAGGTACACACACAGCACACATCGCGATTGATTTTACTGGCTCGGGAAGGTGAATTCTTTTCTTATTTTCCTCCCTGCGAGATATTTTGACAACTATTTTGCAGCTTGTCAAGTCATGTCAATTTTTGACACCGTAGGTCAACGCTCTATTGAGGGTCTTTTGTGTGTGGGGATCTGTTGCCAACTACTATAATGCCCCATAAGGGGGACAACAGGATTTAAGTTGTGAGCTAGGAACCTGGAACGGAAGTTGCTAAATCCCCTAGAGAGACTTGCTACAAGAGCTCAAATCAGATTTAGAGGGAAAATAGGACTGCGTGGCAAGTTGGCATGTACACATATTTGTGTACAGAGTATAGAACGACCCATAAAATGAACATGTGCAGTTTGTTTTTTTAGCTGCTGGATAGCAGCCCGACAAATCATCACGTTTCTCCGTTAGTTAGTTAGTTAGTTAGTTAATAGTTAGTAACAAACATTGTCTATTGCTCCTACACATTTGGACCGATTTCAACCAAACTTTGTCAAAGTAGCCTAGCCCCAACATGTCACATGACCAAACTGGGGTCAGAGGTCAGCATGGGATCACTCGGGTCAAAAACTGATTTTTGTTTTTACGCAAAACACTACTCCTTCCAGAAATTACATGGCACAGTCACGTGACTCATGCATGAACACAAATTCGTTTGGCCCGCAGCTTCCGAGCTCCGATCGAGCTTGTTTACATTGAGACGTTAAGTATTTTGTGTCATTCAGTGTCAGTACGTGGGTAGGAGTCAGCTTTACATGTACATGAATAAGAGTCAGTTTTCCTGTTAAGAAAACTTTGTACAAGAAACTGTTCGTCATCCATTTTATTTCAAAAGTAGGATTTAGTTTGAAGTCTCACACAGCCGACAATTCTAGCATTATGCACGAAATGTAATATCATTACAGAGCCAATTGACCTATCGCCGTTTGCGAGTTAGCCACGTCCCTTAAACAACCCTATAGAACTTTTGGAAGTTGAGTTTTGTTCGTCTCAGATTTTGCGCGTTCTGCGACCATATGTGATATCATGTAATTGGACAATATTTCACAAGCTGCGTTGCCGCGATTCTACCGCGATAGGTCAATTAAAAACCATGATATATAATTGATGATTCAGAGAAATGATTCAAAACTCCGAGTCTGTAATCTCCTTGACCATCACTGGTTAATGGATGTATAAGATTTGAAGGAAAAAAAAATACATTTTCAGGTTTATTCACCGAGTCTTAAAAGCTCTTAAAAGCTCTGTCATCCTGACGTCTCCTGACGATGACTAAAGCAGGCTTGTCGAAACGTTGAGACCAAAGACAAGTTCGTTCAGAACTTACAGCAGGACTGTTCTTTACAGAACAAAAACTACTTAGCAAAGTTGATAATAAGCAGGACAAGTTCTTCTCAGAACTAATATCTTCTAAGCAGTAGTTATTACCACATGGTGTTACCGCAAACCGAAACGATACCTCTGTCATGGATGTTTCCAGAAAGCTGGAATTGCCTAACATGTTCCAAATACCTCCAGAAATCACAACCATCGACGTGTAACATCTCAATCATCCAATTTTCCGGCCAGCCAGGAAGCTGCACAATTTACAGCGGGTTGAAAAGGATGAATAAACGTGGGTGTTAATGCAGTAAATGCACCTCAAGTGAAAGCCTTTCATTCCTTGAAGTGAACAGGGCTGTTATGCAATATGTACTCCCTGTGTGGAAATGGAGGATAATGGGGATTTGTATTCAAACACTTGAAGACTTCCTCAGAAACCAGTCAGTCATTGGAATGGGTTGTATGTCTTCGTCATCCATTCACACCTATTGAGGGGCCTCTTTTAGGTACAATGTTTTTCTAATCTCCCGATACTGTAGTTTAGTTTAGGATATTCTCTGCACAGAAAGAAAATTGCATCCTGACGCCATTAATTTTTTTCACCATATATTTTCCAAATGACGGTCAGTCATTGCAAAAATGTTGAAAAGACGTGAATCTGGGACTGAGAAACATTTTCAATTTGGTCGGAAAATATTTTGAAAAGCACTTGACTCTCCTTACTAGATTTTGTGCACAACCAAAGAAGTGGTGTCTGGATACTACATTCTTTCCCTCAGCACTTTTAAAGATTGTTTTCCCATGCTGTTGTCAAGTATAATCCCCAAAATAGATTCCTTTTACTAGCAATATAAAACTTCAACATTAGGCTTTTGCCCTTCACCGACGTATAAACACTGCATACTCAAAAAAAAAAAAAAAAAAAAAAACAAGTGAAAGTTTGTGACCAAAATAATAACCTTTTCCCCCCAAGGAGTTGACAGGGTCCACAGACACCCACAAAAAAAGGGGGGGGGGAAAAGGGGTTTTTTTTGTTGAAATAAAACACACAATTGAACATTTATTAAGAGAAACAATAAATTTAATTTGTTGATTATAATGGGAAATACATCTTTTAACAAATCTGACGAAACCAAGAAGCAAGTTTCTGTTGGAATAGAACTAAAATCTGTAATATCCAGTGGCTAGTATAGTCATAGTATATGTCCCCCCCCCCCCCCCCCTCCCTTTTTCTAAGAACAAAGAATATGACACTGGTTTTTTGTACAGGGTTTTTTGTACAGTGTAATTTAGGAATGTTATTAACACAAATGCCTAGAGACTTTGGATTAGACTCTGGTTGTGAGTTGGGAATGGCTAAAAATCTTCTTTGAAAGTAATTGCACCAAACTAGCTGGATCATATTTACCGAGATTTCTCCTGAGAGTGAGTGCACGTGCGTCACAAGCTACTGGGTGTATTTTGGGACAAATTGTCAGAATCTGGCTGTAGGAAAAAACAATATCATGATATAAATAGCCCTCAAATTGGAAAATGTGTAAATATTTCAGTATATTTCAATACTATTGAATGCCTTCGTACAGTGTACATTTAAAAAAATTATTATTGGAACTTTTCCCCCAATTACAGATGGTTAAATTTTCTTTTTTAATCATAATAGAAGTGACTGAAAACACCTAATTTTAAAATCCACTTTTGGCACATATTTTCAGCTGTTGTTTGAATATATTTACAAACATATTTGTGATGTTTAGACCTAAAAAAATGCTTCAAAAGTTTATGTTCAGAATAGAAAAAAAGCATGAGACACCCAATTTTCAAATCCACTTTTGATATGATTTTTTGAGCTGTTGTATACATTGTGTAAGTATCCACACATACATGTAAGTGTGCCGTGTACAAAAATTGACACAAAAAGAGAGCCTGAATAAATACTACTACAGAGGACATACATTTATTGTACAGACGTAAGGGAACACCGGAATGCATCGGCACAAATATTACCAAGGGCAGTTGTGAAAAAAGCAATTTGTTTTCCTTTCATCCCCTCCCCCTCTGTTGGTCATGCTTCAGTGCATTAACAGGTTCAGGTGTACTATATCGACCATAGGTGTGATCAATCAAATGAGAATGTTGCACCTTAATAATTTTGATGTACATGTACATGTGTAAACCTGCAGGAGATACTG